GTGAGGTCCTGATTTTGATTCCCAGTACCTCCAAAAACACAAAACAAGGGCCAGCAAGATAGCCCAGCCATCTAAAGTGCCTGCTTAGACAAAGCACAGGGACAGTGGTTCAATTCCCAGCACCACATACCATGACAGTCCTGTCCCCTGGGCAGGCTGAGCTGGACAAAAAAAAAAAAAAAAAAAGCAGAACTCTTAAGACAGCCTGTTTCACTGTGACCAATATGTTTCATCACCACAGATGGTTTGCAGGTATGATTTTCCTGAAATTTAAAATAACTGTTACTTTTTTGTTGTTGTCAAGCCTGGATCACAAAGCTAACAGTGTTTTATAGGGTAATATTGTAACTGCCAAAGCAGGTTTTGGAGGATGGCCAAACAAGCCCCAACTCTGCCGGCTCCCCCGCTAGGAAATGCATTCATGTCCCAACCCTTCCTGCTTGAGATGGAACCCACAGCTCTCTCGTCCTAGGAAAGCTTTCCCCTCTTCCTCTTCCTAGCCTGTTTTGCATGTGAGTTAGCCCCTCTGAAATACATGGTGAAATAAGGTCCCCAGTGAACAACATTAACAGCAGGGGGGGCAGTTAAGAAGTGATTAGGTCATTAAAAGGAATGAATACCTTGCACAGAGAACTGGGTTCTCTCTAGACTGGATCAGTCTCCAGGAAAGCAGTTTGTTCCCAGGCCAGCCCTCCTGCTTCACCTCTTCCACACAGGCCTGGTGCCTGTCCCTCTTTCACCCCGCATTGGCTCAGCAGGAGCCACACAGCCAGTGATCTTGCACATTCAGTCTCCAGAACCATGAGGGCTATGCATGCGTCCCTCCTTTGTAAATCACCTACTCGGCCGGGCATGAGCGCCTGCTTGGCAAGTGCAAGTTTCCGAGTTCTATCCCTGACACCGCAAAACATCACCGTTATAGCAACAGAAAATGGCCTAGGACGCTAGGGAGCTGCTCATATCTTTTTCAAGGATGATGATCTTCATTTTTTACTTCGTTTCTTTCTTTCTTTCTTTTTTTTTTTTTGCGGAACCAGGGATTGAACTCAGGCCCTTGCACTTGCCAGGGAAGCACATATTCCACTGAGCCATCTCCCCAGCCCCATTCATTTCTTTTTTGAAACCAAGATCAAGGCTGGCCTTGAACTCACTATGGAGCCCAGGCTGGACTCAGACTCATGGCAATCCTCCTGCCTCAGCCTCCCAAGGGTCTGGCTCAGCTCTACAATATATAAAGACATCTTCCAAATATTCAAGCCTAGTTCTTCTGCCCTGCTAGAGATTTCATCAATGACTGAATGCCGCTGTAATAAGTTCTCTGTTCCATTTCAGCTCCAAAATTTTGCTTTTACTCCTATAGCTGTTAGCCTTCCCCTGCCACTCAGGACACTTCCTGCAGACTGTTGTTGTTGCTTACTCCGTTACCACGCAATTCTCAGGTGCTTTCTCTGTCTCGCTCAGCTTTGGATCCTCAGAGCCTGGTAAGAACCCAGAAGAAAACTGATTTAATGAGTGAATGAAGTTCTCTGCACTCTCATTTGCCTGTTTATAAGTTGGGAGTCCCAGCTATTGTTTAAAGAAAAACTTTTAAGCACACAGCTCTGACAGTTCAGTCCTGTAATCCAAAAACTCTGGGAGGCTGGGGTGAGAGGATTCCAAGTTCCAGTCCAGTCTGGGAAACTTAGTGGGACACTCTTCAAAAAATAAAAAAAAAAAAAGGGGGGTGGGACATAGCCCAGTGGCACAGCACTTGCCTGACAAGTACAAGGTCTTCAGTTTGATTCCCAGTACTCCCCCAAAAAATTAGCTTAATTAAATTAAAAAATTTTTAAAGGGCTGGGGATGAACTCTGGGTGAAGGCTCCAGGTTTAATCCCCAGTACAGAAAGGAGGAGGTGGGGAGAGAAGAGGGTGAGAAGGAGAAGGTGGAGGAAGAGGAGAAGGAGGGGGGG